AAACCTCGGAGTGTTCTTGGATAGCTCTTTTAAATCAGAGAAACAGGTCTCCACTGTGGTAAAAAAAAACAGCTTTTACCAGTTGCGTCAGATATCTAAAGCAAAGCCGTTCCTTCCTTTAAGGAAAAACGTATCCACACATTCATCACATCCAGACTGGACTACTACGACTCCCTCTACTTGGGCCTCCAACACTCTTCTCTTTACCGGCTTCATTTAGTTCAAAATGCAGCTGCGCGTCTCTTAACAGGTACTAGAATCTATGATCACATCACTCCAATTTTAGCTCCCTGTTAAATTTCCTATAGATTTTAAAATTCTTTTGTTTACTTTTAAATTCTAAATAATTTAGCGTCCAGCTATCTTTCCAAACTCCTCCATTTGTACAATCCAAATAGAGCACTAAGATCTTCAAATCAGATGCTCCTAACATGACCTAGGTCTCGACTGAAGTCCAGAGGTGACCGGGCCTTTGCAACCGTAGCGCCTAGACTCTGGAATAGCCTCCCTGCTCATATTCATACCTCCGAGTCTATCCAGTCTTTTAAATCTTGTCTTAAAACCTATTTTTTTTACTTAGATTCTAACTAGTTGGCTATTATCTGGCTTGTTGTGTTGTCACCGATTGTTTCCTGCCCTGTTTTTTCTTGTTGTTTTGTTTTAATTGTCTCATGCTTTTACTCTGTCTGACTCTGAAGCACTATGGTCAACTTTGTTGTTTCTAATATGTGCTATAGAAATAAATTTTGATTTGATTTGATGACAGTGAGCAGAACACCTGAATTCAATTATTTGAATGGGTGAGTGAATACTTTTGCAGACATCTCGTGTTTACAGACCTGTAAAATCACTGCATGATCAATCAGTTGATAAAAGTAATTCACTCACGGGTCTGTTTATAACATGTGCCAACCACACAGTAACTAGGCCCTTGTAGTACCTACTTATGACAGACATTATATATTAAGATGGCGCCGGTGAGGTCAGCTGCCGTCACGACTGCTCCGACCCCAAGCATTTCACTACATATCGTACTGTGTATGACTGTGTACGTGACAAATAAAATTTGAATTTGAATTTAAAATTATCTGTGGGCTAAGCTTTGACTTTCCTGTCTGTGTAAAATGGTAACTGGTTCTTATATAGCACTTTTCTATTTTATCTGAGCACTGAAAGTGTTTTATAAAACATATCTTATTCACCCTTTCACACATGCATTCATTCAATCCTTTTCTAGCTAACATTCACGCACATTCATACTCTGATGAATGCATTTTGCCCAAGGATACCTTGGCACGCAAACTGGATCAGAAAGGAAGCAAACGACCAACTTTCCAAATGGTAGATGACCTGCACTACCTCCTCAGCTACAGCCACCCCCACATTAGTTCTTGCAACTAATTGCATTCTTCATTGATGCATGAATTGAGTGAACCACCAATAAGAGTCATATCAGAGTTTTTGAGGTTTCCACATTCAGAGACAAAGTTTTGAAAAGAGTAAGGTTTTCTAGGCAGGAGTTCCTCCATGAGAACTCTGACGCTCATTAGTCAGTACTTGTAGGAACCCGCTGGGGGTGGACTTGCTTTGGGGTAGAGGCAGAGCATGTACGGTCATCCAGCCAGTGGCGATGCACAGACTAAGCCCAAGGCCACAGAGCACACACACTGTCATGGGTAAAACCCAAGCAGGGGCACATGGAGCACCTCAGGTGGATAACCTCAGCAGACCCACTTGCATGCCATGAGGTCGTAAAGACTGAGTGTTGCAGAGAAGGTGCTCCCCCTGTAGCCAACAATGTCTAGATGCTGAGCCACACTACCCAGGCACATTTTTAGTCAGTTATAGGAAACAAATCCCAGGAGAGGTCCTAGGTTTGATCAGCCAACCTGTGGGAACAGTGCTTTCACCATGTAGCAACACTAGTTAATATAGCAACAATTAACTGCCAGGTGTGGAAGAAGTAATGGCCACTCATTTGGTTTATGTGTGTGTGTTTCCTCACCACCAGGCTCCGGTCACAGCTGAACTTGATGGTGGATCCATGCATCGTGCGGAAGGATGAAAATTTAATCGGCAGTCCAACATTTGTCACCTACACACACACACACACACACACACACACAGGCATAATGCTTCAAAGGAAAAGGTTTAGAAAAACTTTAATATTGTCAATGATTCTGATTAAATATGTGCTTAAACATCTTTTGATACAAACCCTAAAAGCAGATCAAGAGAATGTTATTACTTTATTAATGCAATTCATTCATTTTCTTGGCTTTGCCAATTCAGGGCTCATGTTCACATCCACATCTACAGAGATTTTCTTTATGTCTTTAAGACATTTCTGCAGTTTAACTAAATGGTGTGTGTTATCTGGCTTCATGGATAGATAAAGTTGTGTGTCATCTGCACAGCAGTGAAAATGTATACTATGCCTTCTAATGATACTGCCTAAGGGAAGCATGTATAATATAAATAGAATTCGAAGCTTTTGAAGAAGAATCTCCATTTACATGAACAAACTGGAGTCTATTAGACAGATAAAATTCAAACTACTGCAGCGCAGTAACTGTAATACCTACAGCGTGCTCTAATCTTTCTAATAGAATATTATGGTCAACAGTATCGAACGCTAGCAGGACAAGCACAGAGATGAGCTGCCTCTCCCTGAGCCTGGTTCTGGAGGACGTTTCTTCCAGTTAAATGGGAGTTTTCCTTCCCACTATCGCCAAAGTGCTTACAAAGGGGGTCGTATGGTTTTTGGGGTTTTCTATGTTGTAATATTGTAGGGGTCTACTGTACTAGAGCTGGGCGATAGAACGATAATGATATGTATTGCGAAATAACTTTTTCTCGATAGAAAAATTAAACTATTGCGATAGACCTCGACCGCTCTTGTCCTCTTAAAAAAAAAAAAAAGAACAGCCAATCCAAATTAAGTAGCGCAGAGCCGAACCAATCACAGCCGCAGCGTCACGTCACGTGACTTGTTACGTACAGCACAAGTGCCAAGCCGCACATGTGTATTTGTTTGGGAAGCAGCCAGCCGCCGTGCCGCCGGGTAATGGAGGAAATGAGTGTGCCGACTAAGAAAAATCAACCGAGAGCGTGACCGAAGGTTACCGAAGAGAAAACAGATGATGGTTCCAATGCCGGAGAGATTGTCGAACGGAAGAGCCATAGAAGTTCCGTAGTGTGAAGGTATTTCGGCTATTTCAAGTCTGACAAAAAACAGAGTAGCGCGCACTGTAAATGTGCCGAAAGCAAGTCTGGAAATACAATAAAGCGGTGCATGCTCAGTCTCTGACTGGAAGCGCTAATTCGTCATTCGGCTTTTGTCAGACTAAAGTAACTGTTAAAACTGTTTGAAAAGCTCAGCTATACAACAAGGAGAGATTGAGAATTTCCTTTTAGTTCTCAGTTTATTTGATATTGACAAAAGTTAGTCAGTTTTGTCTGTTCTTCTGTAAAACAAACTAAGATTTATTTTTAGAATTAATATTTTGTTTCTAAGTGGAATTGACAATTTAGTCTTGTTTCGTTTGTTCTATTTTGAAACTTAAACGCTTTAGCGGCTGCCTTTTGTGTAGTTTGCAATATTTGCCTTTATTTATCTGAAAAAGTCTCATGTTCCTTAAGTACATCTACCCTGTTGAACTTATTATGGGAAATAAATATTTAAATCAAAACAAGCTGCTGATTATTTCACATTTTACTTGTGAGCAACGGCACATTTAAATCTTACAAATATAGTTATTTGGCTTATATCGTGATAGATATCGTTATCGCCTGAAATGAAAAAAACATATCGTGATATGAAAAAATCTCATATCGCCCAGCTCTAGTCTACCTTACAATATAAAAGCGCCTTGAGGCGGCTGTTGTGATTTGGCATTGTATAAATAATATTGAATTGGATTATAACCCTACACATCTCTTTTTGCCATTCGTAATCGGCTCTATCCAAAAGAACACTTCGTTATTCATCCAGTCATTCTCCTCCTACCTTTGAGTTGCGAATGATGTGAGCCTTTAAGGTGGCAGCCAGCCGGTCCCGGTGTAAAGGGTGGATGAGCCAGAGCTGCCTTTCAGGTGGCAAGGACTCCATGGCCTTGTTTGTGGGCCAAAACACGGTGAATGGTTGGTGGACGGCCATATTGAGTGTAGGGAGGAGGCCTGCAATCTGCAAAAAGTGATAAAAGCACTTAACAGTGAGTCTTGCACACTGATTTTTTTTTTTTTTGACATTTTAGAAACACTTGAAATTAATTTTACTAGATACAAATGTTATGATAAATGTTAGAACAAATGGAACTTAACTTAACCTTTTCCTTTATGAAAGCCATATCTGCTGTGTAATCTGTTGTACAGTGATACTAGGCTGCACAGCGGAGGTCTATCATGAGTAATTCTGTCTCTAATCAACAAAGTTTTCTGTTTGACAGTCTTTGATTTCAATAAAAATGTTATGGTACAAAATATGAATATTTACAAAAATAGCTGTGAAATATGAAATGCTTTTTAAAAAATGATTCGTCGACCCCCCTTCAGGCCTTTTTCCACACACTAAAGTTGGAAACAGTGTTTGAACAAGAATATCTCAACAACTATTAACGATAAAAGCCTGAAATTTTCAATGGTCTATCATTGTTCTTGATAAAATTTTAGCTCCTCATTCTTGATGATGATGATGATAAAAACAGCAGCCTTTATCTTTAATAAGTTTTGAAATATTCATGTTCATACATTGCCTCAAATTTCAATGGGCCAAAAAAGACACTTTTAGGTCTTTTTTGGCCCATTGAATTATAGCACCACTGGCTAACAATGATGAGGATGTTTGTATCCTCGACAGGGAGGAATGCTGGTTTGAGCGGGGACGCTGTGATTGCAACCATTCTCCAACTCTCTGTAAAATGGTACTCATGGTTATTGAGCAGGGGTCGCTAATCAATATTCATAACAATTTGCATATTAACGACAATGAAACTGACCTCACAGCCCATTGTTCATCAGTGGTGCTAGTGTCAGTCATTATGGAAATGTGCTCTTTATAAGGTTGAGGAAACCTGCAGTAAGCCGACACTGTAAATCTCACTTGGTTGAGTGACAAAACGTTTCTCCCACTGAAAACGCTACGTCCAGATAAACAGAATCAACCTTTTTGCGATAGAGTCTAAAGGTACCTCTACCCATGTATTTTCCTGTTATGGCAAAAGAGTCTCATCTCAAGGACAAAGATGTTCAAGAGGAGCTGCCAAGCAGGAAGACAAGAAGACCACAGAGAAGGTTCATGGAGTGAAGGAGGACATACAGAGGGTTGGTGTGACGGAGGAAGATTGTAGGGATAGGATGAGATGTCGGCAAATCACTGTGGTGATCGCAAAGCCAAAGGAAGAAGAACGTCAAGAAAGTAACCATGACCACAAAAACATGAACATATGTGATTGCATCAGCAGGTCATAGCATTAAGCACATTGCTGACAATATTAACAGTGAAAGGACGATTTCGAGGTTCTAATCTTGGAGTCGAACAATAGGAAGAACACTCCCTCCACTTTCACAAACATTAAGATCGTAGAACATTTATGGCAAAGTGATGTTTCAATCTATCATGTAATTTCAAGTCAAGTGGCTTTATTGTTATTCCAGCCATGTGCAGTGGTACAGTATACAGTGAAACGAGACAACGTTCCTCCAAGACCATGGTGCTATGGTCTTGGAGACAGTGCAACACCAGACAGAACAGAACAGAACGATACAGACTCAAGACAGTGCAGACACAACAATGCCACAGAAAAGTGCAACAATGACAGTAGGTTGTGCAAAAGACTGAGCATTGTGCAAAAAGTACATATGAGATAAGGTAATCTCTGTGTGGAAGTTTCACAAAATTCTGACAAATAATCTCGTCGCAGAAGGTCGTCTACAGTTCAGTTGAGTTCAGTTCAGGCTTATTTATATAGCATCAGTCATAACAACAGCTGCCTCGAGGCTCTTTACACTGTGAGGTAAAGATTACAGTGTTAACTGTGGTGGATAAATGGACACATGGATGCCTTTTCATGCCATAAGCTCAGTCCTTTGGCTAGATGAGCTAAAAACTACAGAATCAGATTGCTAATCCAGGTGTTAAGCATCTGAATACAATTCAGTATGATGTAAGAAAAATATTTAAGACTCTTAGTCATAAAATACTCCACTATCAACAAAACAAATCTGCACAGGATCTGTTTTTGAGTGTGAAGTCATTCTGTTTAGTTTTTGTCTCCTTATAGCCTGGGGTTAAACTAGGCAGGAGCCTACTGCAGAGCGTTACCAGCTCACACTGTGACACTTAAACACAGGATAAACATAAAATGCCTTCCCTTTTTTTTTTTACTTTGCTGCAGCAAGAACAAAAGCAGTGGTATCTATGCAGTCTCTGAACTGAACTTCTGCATGTGGCTATTTCCCTATTTCAGTCTTGTTAACATAAATACTTTCTATATACTAACTATATGCAAGCTTTTGTGACATATACAATTCCTACTGTGAAAAACACAGCAGTCAAGGTCAGAAGGAAGCCATTTTGTACTTAAAAATATAATTTTTCCCATAGTGTGGCCCCCTGGTGGTCCCTGAAGGTACTGTAGGTGGTTGTTTAAAATGTTTACTGAAAAATATATTTAGAAGAATGTAAATTTTAATAGCTGCACATTTTTTAAACTTTAATGTTAATATGATATAACTTAACTAGACTTTTGATTTGGTATTCATGAAATATTTATTATAAAAAGAAAAATAAACTGGAATACTGCCAGTGCTACCCCTAGATTTCAAACTCCTACGTCCCCTTGTTTTTGAGTTATCGTATTCATAAACTTGCCAGGCAGCGTGGTACCCTGACCCATCAGTCAGTGTAAAGTATAATGCTCTCTTTAACGACAGTTATTTTATTTTTTAGGGGAATCCTATCCTGTTAACGATTTCAGTCTCTGGTGTGAAACATCAGTCACTTTTCCAAAGTGAATGTGAGAGTATTTTTTCCCTGCTGGATCCCTTTTCCAGGTTCCACAGCACAGATAACTCAAAACATTGTTAAGTGGTTTGAGTTCCCGCTGTTAATTTTAACGTTGTGTAAAAACATCAGCCTATACGCAGTTTCAGAAGGCTGCCTCTCGTCTGGCTGACACATTTATTGTAAATCTGTTCCTGAAAGTCTCACATATATCTGAGCTCCCATCTTCAAGAGTAAAGAGAAGCCAAAACCAACATTATGTCTTCTAAATTCAACATTCATGTGTCATAAACAGCTGTATGAGGCACAAAACTGGCAGGAGATAAAGCAGAAGTCACAAATGGCAGCCTCCGGGGTTCAAGGGCCACATTATGAAACCAGGAGCATATTTTCATTTCAAAAGCCTAAAAAAGAACTGATTTTTCCATTTGCTAATTTCAAAGTTGCCTATTTTCTTGCTATGACGCAAAGCATCGAGAATCCATCACGGCTAAAGTGAAGCAGTGACCCACATGTAGTAATGTTAACCCCAGTTATTGGCCATGACCAAAAATGCATTTCAAACACATTCATCAATTAGAAAATTTTAAGATAAATCTGCTGGCGTTTTTTTTTTTTTTGTATAAAAAGATAAAAAGATACATGGATTTAAAAAAAGCTGCCAGCACCACTGAGATAACTTGCAGCGACTGACATGGATGTGCGACTTTTGGTGATAACCGTCAGTGCACTACAGTAACAACCGTGAGTTATTGTGATCGGGGGCACCTTGTTATTATTATGTTATGCAGGTTTGTAGATTTTATGGGACTCTGGGGGGGTGTGGAGGGACGCTTCTCCATCTGATTAGATGTGGAAACTCCCCGTGTCTGCAGGAAAGGCCGCTAACATTGAAACACGTCCCTGGAGAGGGTGAAGCAGTGTGTGTGTCCATGAAGGAGTTTTACTATATCTTGATTAATTTACTGTAAATCTATGGTCTGTACAGACTTCTCCCAGTCTGTTTTATAAATATATATTTGGGGTTGTTAATGGTTTTAGTACCATGGTGAAAATAATGATTTATAGGCCCAGCTGAAGAGCGTTTTTCTGTGACATGCTGGTACATAATTATATGTGGGATACTTGTAATTATTGTATTCGTGTTGCTAAAACACCAAAAAAAAAAAAAAAACCCAGAAAAACTCCCCCCACATGTTACATAAGAGCTATAAATTGATTTGGATGTCACTGAGTGAAATAGGTATTTGAGCCCCTACTACCACAGGCTGTGTGCCTGCAAAGATTACAGTCAATCAGTCAATTAAAGAATTAGAAATAGTCCTGATCTCAATGAGTTATATTTATGACCCAGACCAAGACAGAGTTTTAATATATCTGAAAGCCTGATTCTTAGCCTTGTACAACCTAACTGGAAAACTCAAATACAGTTTTATTTGTAGTTATCTATTGTTTTTATCTGATTTAACGGTCAGTTCAGATAAAATAATTATTGTGGGTGAATAAAACATCCATATAGATGCTCAAAATGACAGCATCAACATAGCATTCAATCTATTATTAGACTCAATCGGCTTCTCTTAAAATGTAAATGAGCCCACCCACCACTTTAATCACACTCTGGAACTTGTTCTGACATATGCCATATAAACTGAACATTTATTCCCTGAAAAGCCTCTTTTGTCTGATCATTTATTAATAATATTTTCGATGCTGGGGTTTTCTCTGTATTCTTCTCGTAGGGTCTTTATCTTACAATATGAAGCACCTTGAAGAAACTGTTGATTTAGCGCTTTATAAATAAAATTTCATTGTAGAAAGCACGACTGTCCACAGAATCAATTTCTTCCAAGCCAACCTGTCCACCACTGGAGAAGACCAAGGAGCTGTCAAAGGACATCAGGTACAAGGAGCTTTTTAATTATCTGAAGGCAGTTGGTACCACAGTCACCAAAAACATGACTGCTAACACACCACGCCATCATTTATTGAAATCTTTCAGCACCTGCAGAGTTCCTATGCTCAAGAAGGCACACGTACAGACCCGTATGAAGTTTGTTCCTGAACATCTAAATGACTCAGAGAAGGCTTGAGAGAACCACCCATCAACTCTGGAGAAAGAGAAATGCTGAGTATCAACCAAAGAACACCAAGCTTAAGCTTAAGATTGACCATGGGCCAGTCTTCCAGCATGACAATGACCTAAAATATACTGCCAAAGCAACAAAAGAGTGGCAAATCTGTGAAGGGGGCTGAAGCTTCAAGTTGCCAACCAGCAACCAAAAGGATGGATAGAGTTTCTGTGAAGAAGAGTGGGCAAAAATCCCTCCTGAGATGTGCGTGAACCTGGTGACCAACTACACAGCCCATTGTGGCAGCCAGAGTTCTGACTGGGTTGTACAGGATCAAATATTTATTTTACTGTCATAAAAAATGAGAGGCTGTTCATTTCTTTGTAAGTGAGCAAACATACAAATTCAGCAGGAGATCATATAATTATTTCCCCCACTGTACATCACGTGAAATCAAATGGACCTGGTCGGACTTGCTGACACTGGCCTTACATGGCTCAAAAAGGAAGGGAACACTCGATCATCACAGTTTAACACAAAGTCAGTTAAACGTCAGGGATATCAAAGTGTGCAGTCAGCAGGCATAAACCACTGCGAATCCATGGAGCTGCTTTGGTGCAAATGAAGCAGACAACAGGTGCACAGCAACAACAACACAACCTCCAAAAAGAGAATTCAAGGTTCAAGGTTCTTTATTTGTCACATGCATAGTTATACAAGTATAACACACAGTGAAATGTAACCTGACACGCTCCTCGACATGTGCAAAAATGGGGGGGGTAGAGTAAGAACATTATATATATATATATATATATATATATATAGTATATAATGGCTTAGCAGGTAGTGGCCACAGACCAAGGCTCTCTCCTTATCCCGCCTGACTGATTTTTTCCTCCAGTTTTGCGTTTGTGCACCTGTTGTCATTTTCATTTCGTCAAAGTAAGAAGCAGATGAAATGGATTCACAATGGTTTAGCCTTCCTAACTGGACAGATTGACATCCCCTTAAGTTTTAAATTACTTTGTTTTAAACTGTGCTGATTGAGTGTTTCCTTAATGTTTGGGGGGGGGGGGGGTTTAGCAGTGCACATGTCCTGGAAACTAAACGCACCAAGCCTACCTCCACATGTGAGCTATTTGTTACAATTTAATTTTGGATTTTTGTTGTTAAATGATAATTAACCCTCAAGCAACCAAGCTATTTAAGCCTAAAACAACAGAGTTTATGACTCCATTACAGTTTACATTACGGGAATAGATACAGGTTCGCCTTTCTGCTCCAGCTGAGCCTAAACAATTTTAAGCACTTTGAAAGCATCGGGGCAACTTCGGGGTTCAGTATTGTGATCAAGGACACCTCAGACAAGAAAAGCCAAGGATCAAAGCACAAACCTTTCAATTAGTAGACTCTACCTCCTGAACCAAAGCCAACACAATAATCAAGGATACCCACACAACTTTTCACGAAATTGTGGTACGAGATATTTTTACAATCAAAAATATGAGCTTTAACCACTTGAAGATTAAAGTACAACTTTTGATATGTCACTGCAGGTGAATATACCAAACCAGGGCCAGCAGAGAAATAATCCCAGGATAATGCCACCATGCTTCACACTTCTCAGTGTGTATGCATGACAATTAACCTTCTGCTTTTAAACTACATCTGCCTGGCAAAGCTACTGTAGTGCTACTGAAGTAAAACCTTGAATACAGGACTTTAAACAGAGTATTTTAAAACTGTGGTAAGTCTATGTTTACTGTCAGTTAAGGATATTACATCGCCCATCTTTCCAAATAAGAGTTGTGTGCGGAGTCTTGTGTCCTAGCACTAAACATCCTAGTGTGTTTAGTGCTGCAGTGTTTTCTCGTTAGTGCTTTGGAGAGAGGCTCAGAGTGCAGAGGAACGAGCTGTTAATAATAATGAGGTCAATCCAAGAAAAATTGCCCAGAGTCACACTAGCCTCGAATAACCAACTTTACCTTAATGATGCTTTCATACTATTAATATTTTCTTAGTTACAGCCCACTGAAGTACGCAGAGGTGGCTCAATTTTTTTTAACATTGATCCCTGATGACTTCTGAAGTGAAGGAGCTAACCACATGAAATGTTCTGAACTAATAAAATGCTCAGATTTGGCTCAAATTACGACCTAATGGCCAGCAGGATTTTTCTGAAGAGGATGTGTAGACAAGCAGATGGGAGTTAATGAAAGAGGGTTGCAGAAATTGAAGTAGTCCCTCTCAAATCAGTAGATGCAGGGTTTTGTTCCCTTACCTCTATGAGTTGGTAGAAGCTGCTGTAGCCATAAACTGAAGCTGCTGTGGTTAAGTTCATCTAACACAAAGAGAGAAAGAGAGATATCACTATCTGCTTCCAGTAAAGATTATTCATTAAATAACTGTAACCAAACCCAACGCACCGTTTTGGGATTAATCGGCGGTTTCTCCTCCAGAGCGTAAGGTGTCAGCATCAAGTCGATGTGGTGAATGATTCCATTAAATGTGGTGTAATCGCTCTTCACGATCCTCGACCTGTTGTTGATGAAGATCGAATCCTGCAGGGGGAGAGAGACTGTTTATTTCCTGATGACTTCCCAAAGGTACTTCCTAGTTAAATTCAAGAAAAATCATTAAAAATGAAGGGTAACTCATTAAAGTAAAATCAAATGGGCTGATTTCTTGGGAGCTTTAGATTCACCTCAATATTTTATAACTTTAACATTCAAAATTAAGGGTTTTTTAAGGATGCTAACCGTGAATGGTGTAACCCAGGATCAGCGGGCCTATTCCAGAAACCAGGGCCCCAGTCAAAAAATTCCATCCCTTGTTTTTCCCTAATCACGTTTCTTGGACTTTTATGGAAAACATCAATAAGATGAAGGAGGTAATAAAGGAAGCACTGAAGCAACTCTCCTTAGTATTTTTTTAATCTGACCAGACACTATTATTAGGGGCACTACACTAATAATTCCAGGTCTTTTCACTCAGTGAGGAATCTTTCTAAGAAAAACTGACTATTTAAACAATCCCAGGTTTACAAACAAACTAACACTGATCTCTGTGGTAGGAAAATCTGAGGTTTTGTTCCCATAGCAGTTTTAATCAACTTACCCTGAGTGAAGCTCGTGCATGGGTCATGAAAAAAGCCATCATAAGTGGCGCTCAACCAGTAAATAAGGAGCAGAGCTTTCAATTTCATCCAGTGGACCAGGTAATATGAATGTGTGCCAGTGTGGGCTATTTCATTTATGTTTACAAAAATATGAGTGGATGAAAGAGAGTAATTTCACTTGAGTACATTTTATTTAGCAATAGACACAATATTCAGCCAATTTTCTTTAATAGATGATAAAGCTGGAATTCTAACAAATGTTAAATCTTTTAATAAATGTATTAATTCACCTGCCAAAACCTGGTAAAAATGCAGGTAAAGAAAAAATATATATCAAAGCATTCCCGGTAATCAGGGTCTGGCATATCGAGACATATCATGGATCAACATTTAGAAAGCTTTCTCTCTAATATTTATTTATTTATTACTTTTTAAAAGTTTGTAAATATTACAGCAAAAAACTGGTGTCAGACTTTCTGCTGCCTGGATTCACAGATGAGATTTAGTTCATTTTCAGTGACAGCTGCATTTCATTCATCCTCACTCAGACATATTCACATCATCTCTGGCATGATTTAAAAACTATGACAAGAATGTTCTGACTGTGCAGACGCTGGTTGGTGTCTCACAGGCCGAACAAGGAGAGCGCTGATCAGAAATGCAGCCAAGAGGCCCATGGTGACTCTGGACGAGCTGCAGAGATCTACAGCTCAGGTGGGGGAATCTGTCCATAGGACAACTATTAGTCGTGCACTGCACAAAGTTGGCCTTTATGGAAGAGTGGCAAGAAGAAAGCCATTGTTAACAGAAAACCATAAGAAGTCCCGTTTGCAGTTTGCCACAAGCCATGTGGGGGACACAGCAAACATGTGGAAGAAGGTGCTCTGGTCAGATGAGACCAAAATGGAACTTTTTGGCCAAAATGCAAAACGCTATGTGTGGCGGAAAACTAACACTGCACATCACTCTGAACACACCATCCCCACTGTCAAATATGGTGGTGGCAGCATCATGCTCTGGGGGTGCTTCTCTTCAGCAGGGACAGGGAAGCTGGTCAGAGTTGATGGGAAGATGGATGGAGCCAAATACAGGGCAATCTTGGAAGAAAACCTCTTGGAGTCTGCAAAAGACTTGAGACTGGGGCAGAGGTTCACCTTCCAGCAGGACAACGACCCTAAACATGAAGCCAGGGCAACAATGGAATGGTTTAAAACAAAACATATCCATGTGTTAGAATGGCCCAGTCAAAGTCCAGATCTAAATCCAATCGAGAATCTGTGGCAAGATCTGAAAACTGCTGTTCACAAACGCTGTCCATCTAATCTGACTGAGCTGGAGCTGTTTTGCAAAGAAGAATGGGCAAAGATTTCAGTCTCTAGATGTGCAAAGCTGGTAGAGACAAACCCTAAAAGACTGTCAGCTGTAACTGCAGCAAAGGTGGTTCTACAAAGTATTGACTCAAGGGGCTGAATAATTACGCACATCCCACTTTTCAGTTATTTATTTGTAGAAAATGTTTGGAATCATGTATGATTTTCATTCCACTTCCCACGTGTACACCACTCTGTGTTGGTCTTTCACGTGGAATTCCAATAAAATTGATTCATGTTTGTGGCTGTGATGTGACAAAATGTGGAAAAGTTCAAGGGGGCCAAAAACTTTTGCAAGCCACTGTAAGTGGCAGAAAACAGATGGATGGATTTTGCTCAATAATTTTACATTTTCAAATGATGCTGTGACTGCTCCTTTATAAAGCTGAGTACAGCTGCTGTGCTCCATGGATTAATAACGCATAAAGTGGTTGGAGTGAGAAAAAGTCAAGTGTGACTTGAGAAAAATTAAATAGTTCTTAATGTTTGTTTTACACATTTAAATCCATATCTGTGAAGCAACATTTCTGTTCTACTGAGGAGTTAATAATCTGTGTATGTGCGTTACCCCTATCAGGCTGAAGTGCAATGTGTGTCCTGATACTGAGACAGCACGCTCAGTGGTTTTGAAGTCATTCGAGGTCAGAATCTCACAGGAAACGATGTGGGAACGAACCAGATCCTCAATATGACCGTTCTGCTTCCAAACATTAACCTAGACACACATACACACAGACACACAAGTCAGTCCTGTAAAGCAAAAACAATAAATGCCACATGCTAAAGTGATACAGCTAGGGTAGGGTGGCACACATTTAAGGTGAGACTGGAGACGTTAATGTCACACGAAAAAGCAGCAGCTGCTGCACTCACAATGGAGATGTTGTTGTTTTCCTCTACCGGGACGAAGACAGTGTATGGTCCATCACCATAAAGACCTGAAATGCCTGACAACTAAGAAGCACAAAAACAGTGACGATGGATGAGAATCAGATGGCTCAAAAGTATTCATCCCAAAGCAAGTCCAGGAGTTTGTTTGTTTTTTTACTTTAATTTTTTTTCCAGCTATTTTCCCACACAGTGTCAGTGCAACAAATTTATAAAATATGTGTATAAAATCAAGGATGAATAATAAGTTAAGGTCTCACAGTGATACTGAGTTTTGGTTCCTGGTTTTATTTTCATTTCTATTTTTGACCCAATGTCCATTTTCTCATTTCCTAAATTCCTCCTCCTCGATTCCTCTCCTCGCATCTTAGCCCTCCCACCACACATGCAAGTGGAGGAAGCGAGGAAGAGTCACGAGGAGAGAGGAGTCAAGGCATCAGGTGTTTATCGAAATGAGACATCCTTGCCTTGGATGTCAATTTGATGTGACATCTGAACTGTATCACAGGCTGCAGGTAAAAACACCTGTGCAGTCTGGATTACAGCTCCTCCTGCAGCCCCCTCTCCTCTCTGGCCTCCTTTTAGAAACTGAGACATCCTTCACCTTGGCGCTCTGTGATTAATTTCTAGATCACAGGCATAACAGTTTTTGTTTCTGACCACAAAGGTAATCAGCTTAGACACTCATTACTTCATTAATAGAGGAGGCAGTCTGTAAAATCAATAAAATATATGCAAATTCTTTCTTCGAGGTAAAATAAAAGGCATCTAATTAAATCTGGACTTTTTCTATCTTAATTGCCTGAATTTAATCGTGTGCACTCTTTGAAAACTTATGAAGCGCCTTGAGGTGACTTTTGTTGTGATTTGGCGCTATATAAATAAAATTGAATTGAATTGAATTGAAAGTCAAACTTCACTTTATAAATGGTGAAGTTTTATTTTCAGTGTCTGGCAGAGGCTCACCATCATCATTTGACGAAAGAAGGCGTTCTCTTTCTGACTGGACACTTCCTGTAAAGCAGAAAACAGTGCAATGTTAGGGGGAGAGGAGTGGGGAGGAGCGGGTGCTCAAAGGAAAGCAGGAAGTTGAAGGTCATGTGACTTACAGAGTTGGTGCTTCCCCGGCAATTAATGCCATCACCTATATAGCCTCTGTGGCAGGTGCAGTTCCTCTGACCCATGCCCATGTACTCACAGCGAGCGTTCCTGCTACATTCACCGTTGTTCTGCACACAAACACAGCAAGAGTCTTTTAACAAGAATGCCACAAAACAAGGGTTTTAATTTCTAGTTTTGTTAGGATTAAACATGGCATCAGGTCACAGCATCAGGAGGTCAGGACTTTGACTGGATCACTGCAGCACTTTGAGTCTTTGTTATGTCAGTCATTCTGTTGTAGATTTGCTGCTGTGCTTGGGACCATTGTCTTTCTGCATGACCCAGTTTCAGCCAAGCTTCAGCTGATGGACAGATGGCCTTACATTTGACTCTAGGATACTTTGGTGTATGGAGCAGCTCACAGTCGACTGATCTGACTAATGGTTGGTTGTTCACATGCAGCTTTACAAACATAAGCTGTGCTGCCATGTTCCTTTTAGAGAGAAAAGGCTTTCTCCTGGAAACCCTTCCGTAAAACGGACCGTGCTGTAAGTGATGAACATTTGTTGACAGGATTCAAAATCATTTGGTGGAAATGAAATTTATCAAGCTAGTTCTGTTTGCCGAACAGCTCATGTGCCACTTAACTAACCAGATCAATATCCCAGAAGTTTAACGCCACACTCCCATTAAAAAGTGTTGCTTTAGGGGTTTTTTTAGCATTGTCTTTCAGGACATACTGAAACTCTGTCCTCAAACTAATCTCTACAGATAAATCAGTGCAGAGGAGCAAAATTAAAAATCAACCTTTTTTTAATTACTCACTCTTCTCTGCAAAAACACATAAATTTAAACAGGTATTTGGAGATAATTAAATAGCTTGCATAGGAATGTGTCTGTCAACATATTATCCCTGCTAAGACACATGGACAGGACTGCTGTAATAATGCTTCTGTTGCCACAGAATTATTTAGATGGCATCTAAAATATTTGGATAATATTTGGAAATTTCCTAGAAAAATCTGTTAAATTATGTCGATTAAGGTTCCTGATGACGACCACTCAAGTCTCACTCTAATAACCTGGAATCTGAGAGGAAGAGCTTAATGTCTCCTTTCAGGAGATTTCAATAATTTATGAAGATACCCAGCTGTGTGAGCCGAGTGCAGAGCTATGTATATTCTACCCTCATAATTAGAGACTGCAAATGCAATATAAATCCCTACTGCTGTATAATGACTACAGGTATTTAACTGACTAAAGAAACCAGGCCATGCAGCTCCCCTGCAGCACCCAGGTGTGCTGAGTACTTTCGTATTCAGCAGCCAAATTAACGACTTATTGCCTTAAAACATGAAAAGATTATCTACCGCTCACATAAAATAAGTATCTGTTCCCATATCACCTTCAGGCATTTAAAACATTTAAAACAAGTGTCAGTATTTTGCTACAGAGCAGAATAAAGCACACACATACATTTCTGCAGGGGTTCACAGGCCAACAGTATCTCCCCGATCCTTGGAAGCCCAGTTTACAGTTGCAGGAGGTCTGAAGATGAAACCAAAGCAGAAAGAGGAAACAGTAAGTCACTAAAACTGTCATGGTACTGGGTCTGTGACCCAAGGTTTTGTGTTTGTTGGTGAATTCTTTGATTATGGTTATTCATGGTTTTGCTTCTCTTCATTGTGTAGTGCTTGTGTTACATTCTTAGTTCCTAGAATTTAAGTTCCTGTCACTTTGTCTTCCCCATGTTCCACATCGAGTCACTCGTCTCCATGTTGCCTCTGTCTCCCCTGTCACAATAGCGTTTGTTTTCATTCAAAGGCTTTATGATTTTTCCTATAATGGCGGGCTCTAGTCAAAATGCCCAGGTCGATTTTTTTGTCCCAGTCCAGCCCTGTATGCAGCTCATCTGCAGTCTGGTATGTGGTGGCAGATTTCTTTTCTCATTTATTAATTACATATTTAATTATATCACATTAGTTATAGTAATATCACTTTCTCACTTTACCATAGTAAGAGCACTCCTGCCACTACTTTACATGCATGTGGAAAGTTAACACAGTGAGGCCATTGTAATGGGAGACATTAAACAGATAGTGAGACTCCTTCTGCTTATCAGGGATGTAAATCCTTAGGTGAAGGCTAAGCAGAAAACAAGGTCATAATTCTCTCTGTGCGGGAGGCGGTATAGCCCCCCCGTGAGAGGGGCCAACATGTAAGAGTTTGAGGAATGTTCTTTGTCTGTGTCTCTGTGTATAAGATGTAAGGGAGGTGGCCACAATTCAGAGATGGTCCTGGTGTTTCACTAGGATGCTCTCTCCACATTGCAATGCGTTTATTAAACCCACTTCAAATCAAGCTCACTGGGTGTGTTGCAGGTTATTTTTAACATTTCCATAACAGGTATTACCTACATCTTTCTATTCGGTAGGCAGAATTTCCAAGTTTCCGAGTACAATCGAAAGCACCACAACTGCAGTTTTCGTGTTGGATGTAAAAAGCGCACATGACGCTGTGACGTAGGCTAGAATCATGGCGGCGGTCAACGACAGTCCAGGCGAGGGATTTCTCTTGTGGAAATATGCACATTATTTTTTCCTTTCTATTGGTAGGTGGCACAGTGCACTTGTGCAAGTAAGCAAGCTAGAAGACTGGCACTCTGGCTGGGTATCCAGTTACGGAAGCAACACATTAACAAGAGAATTCTGAGTAAAACCAAAGTTACTTTCGCTAGTAACTAGTTACTCTGAAAGTAACGAGTAACTTGAAGTAACTGAGTTACTTTTGATAGAAGTAACTAATAATGTAACTAAGTTACTAATTTAAAGTAACTTACCCAACACTGGAAGTCATTGCCTGCACCTGTCCTGTGCTTCCTGTTTTATTTTGATAATCCTGGTCCTGTGTGCAGCATATCTAGTTTTGCTTCCCTTTGTATCATTATGTCTAATTAGTCCCAGCTGTGTTTCCCATTTCCTCGTTACTCCCTTGTGTATTTAAGCCCTGTGTTTTCCTTTGCCCTTTGTCGTATTATACCACCGTCGTATTGTAAGTCTCTCTATGTTTCTAGTTTCCCAGTGTTTGGTTCCTAGTTTTCATGTTCAAGATTTTAGGTTGTTTTTTGTGAGTTTATGTCTACAGAAGATTCTCCCAGCAATAAAACTGCTGCTTTTTGTTCACTTTTTTCTGCAGGTTTTACTATGTAAAAGTTTTTACTACAAAAAAATGAGAAAATGATATTCTGTATGTCGCAAGTAACATATTAAGGATATCTTATCTCCTCGACATCACATGGACCTAAGAGGATATGCAGTTCCTGTAATGGCCACTTGAGGCTGCCTCCAAAAGCGACTCATTTTAAAATGCTAAACTAAATGCTCTTATGGGTGTGGCTACTTTAATTGACAAGAACTGTGGCCAATTGCTGTCAGGAAATCATCACACTAGCATTAAGCCTTGCTCTAAGTTAAATTCTAGTACTTTATTAGTCTGTTATTGGCCCTTATTAGAAATATCTGTATCTGTGTGTTGTACTTGAATCAAATCAATCCTTACATCCAAATAAAGTCACTTCTGGCTCAAAAGAACCAACACAGCCAGAGTCCAAAACCAACACACTGGCTGCATTTATCTTTAAAACAAAACCTGTGGTTTAGCGGAATTTGCCACTTGGTCAGGTTTAATATGCACGTCCACCTGTATATACATGACAGAATATAAGTGCTAGTACCCCTTAATTAGAGTCTTTTAATTCAATACCTATATTGTGTGTTTGTAGTTAAATGTCTTTCTTTCCGCTTGATTATTTATCCTCATTTGTTTCACCTGCACTCTGACTCATCTCCACTGCTGATTGGCTGCTGGAGGATCACCTGCACTTGTTTAAAGCCAGAGAAAGCAGAGCACGGTGATGGGCTCTCTCCGTCTCACTCTCTCATTCACTCCACTTGTTTCAGTCTTCTCTATCAACTATTAGCCGAGCTGGGAGTTACCTGCAGTCTTGTTTTCTGTTTCGGTTCATTGACCTTGCCAATATTGGTTTAAGGCAGAAGCCAGAAACCAATGGCCATCTGGGCAGCTGGTTCCCGGGGTCCTTCCTCTATTGTTTTCTTATAACAGGCTGACATGTGTTCATTCTTTGTAATCCATCTTGTATTATTAAAAGCTTAAAATTAAAACCTTGAACAGAGGCAGTGTGTGACATGAATTTGAATAATTTTTATTGTTCTATCATTTTGGTTGTTAGCTTTTCAATTATTTTTTGTTTGTAAAAAAAAGTGATTGTTGGATCTTGTATGACTTCTTTCATGTTGTTTCTTATCAATTAATTTTAACTTCACTATGAATCTAGATTATTCTGCTTTTTAGTAACTTCATATGCCAAATGAATTAACTAAATTAATTAATTCAATTAATTAAATGGATTAATATTAACAATAAAAGCACAAAAATATAACTGATAGAATTCAGGACACTAAAAATGACATTCAAAAACAATGGACAAACAATACAGAATTATAAAATTTTGTGGCAATGTAACTTTTTACTAATTTATGGAAAAAATATTAGTTTTGTGCCATGTATTTATTATTTTGTCACTGTCAGTCTGTTAAGAAAAAGCTATATAAGTATAAAAAATGGCAAAGAAATAATTAAGAGAGGTTTATTAAGGGCCTCAGGTACAAAGTTAGCTCAGTGTTACTGGGGTCTGATGTTTTAATGCAGAACAGTGATGTCTTACAATGTTGGGTCCTGCTCTGATGCACTCCGCATTCTTGTGGCAGCCTCCATTCTTGATCAGACAGCCGTCAATCTCTGCGAAGAAACCAAAGGATGGACACAAACATTTATTACATCACCTTGTTTTTTTCTGAGATATGCAAAATACATGCTGAATGAGGACCGATGATTTGAAAACATAGGGGTTTTTTTGTTTTCACTTCATCGGTCAGGTACAAGGTACAAAAAATAGCAGGGAATACAGGTGAACTGTTTTCCACTGGATCAAAAAAATGATATAAAACCCTCCACTCAAAAAATACATAAACTGAATAATAAGTAAGGGGTGTCTGAAATAGGAGATATAGGTCTAATTCAAAGACAGAAAGAGTCTGTAGGCAAAAATGTACAGAATTCCAGGCTTTTCAATGACTCCTCAACAAATAAAAAATACACAAAGTGAAACAAAACAGGAACCTTTAGAACAAACTCAATATGTTCAAGGAATGAGAGCACAAACAGACACATGTCTGACAGAAAAAGCTCAATGGACACTGACGAAAGTGAGGATGTTTTCACACCTACAGTTTGTTTACTCTGGTCCAAATTAGTTGTAAATTTGTAAATCTGTAGCTTTTTCCTGTGGTTTGGCTGCTTTTCATGCAGAGAAAACTCCAAGCAAACCAAAATACATCACGACAAACCAGCTAAGACAACCCGATGTATCACGGCAAAGCGTAAAATACACACCCACAGTGTGTGTATTCAGTTGCAGTACCAGCAGAGCAAGATAATATATTTAACCCCCTAAGACCAGAACTTCATGGTTTGCATTTTTAATTTCTCTTTGCTATTTGGGTTGATTGGGCAAAATTTATGTGTTCTAGACAACCCAAATTGTGATGTCCACATATGTGGACGCCAGGTCCTGGGAGGCCAAGGCAGTGCACCCCAGCGTCCTTTAATGTCAGAAAAGATTAAGCTGCGAGGCTAGAAAGCATTTACGTGCAAATGTGTTAGTAATGCCTCTTTAAACACTTTCCTGTGATTATTTTCATGTTGGGTTTAAATAAAATACCTTCCTCCACTGGTGCTGCAGCCTACTGCAACATGCATGTCCATTTCAGACTTACAAGAGGCAAAGAGTGATACAGGAAGTAAGTGTTTTTTGGTGAGTATTTCTTGAGTATAACCACTGTGATTAATTAATTGATGTGGTTGTTTGTTTTTCCCACCTCATTTAACCCAAAGAAATGCACTGGGATGTAAATAGCCCAGGACTGATAAACCTATGTCAAGCTTGAATCCACAGTAAACACTGTTAAACACTGGAATACCACATGTACTGAGAGTAGATGACACTGTAGATTTCGTATCTTGCCTCACATATTGTAGTAGTGTTACTTTCCATATAGCGGTGTGTTAGGTTAAAATAGTTAAATGTAGTCATTGTGTTACTTAAATTTGTAAGTCTTGAGTTCAAACTGTATGATCAGGCATTCTTCTGTTTCTGTTCCCCTCCCCAGCCTGTTGAATGGTGAGGGGGGCTATAGTGTGACTGTAGGCATATCCTATGTGAGGGTTCTGCTTTCTTATTTAGTGAGGGTGTTTTACTTCCTGCTCTTTATCTCCTCACCTGTGTTTGTATATGGCAAAAGCTAAGCCATATAGAGGGGTGAGGGGAGATGACCCTTTGTCAGCAGGAACGCACCCACCCCCCCCCCCACGCTCACACTCACACACACACACACTCACACACACACGCTCACACAAACACAC